GGAGGCTGAAGGCTCTGCCGCCCGCGGCAGAGACAAGCCTTGTTCTATGGCATGACAGGAGGCCCGAGTTAGCCTCTGCTCTCTGCAAGAAGGAACGGAAATCCCATATGCCCGGACAGCATCCTCCCAGAGGAAGCCACGTTCTGGGGGTCTGCAGGCACGAACCCAGGCCAAGCTGGAAGACCTTGGACATCTGGCTGCATCTCCCAGTAGAACACAAGCCCCCGAGAACAAGGACTGTCCTGTCATCAATCCCCAGCACTGAGCATAGAGCCCGGCATGGGGGGCCTGGCCCTTGGGCCTGGGTGGACCAGTCAGGCCCTTTCTCATCGGGCTGCACTTTCCTCATAGGTCAGAAAAGGGATTTGGACTCTGTATGGATCAATAAAGATAGTGTTTAAGATAATAATAGCTAGCATTCATCTGCTTTGAGGCTTACAAAGTGCTTCACAAATAATACCTCACTCGGTCTTTACAACACCGCTAGGAGGAAGGCATTATTCTTATCCCCATTTTATAGGGGAGGAAACTGAGGCTGAAGGTGCCACCCGTACCAGGTCACACAGCTAGCAGGATTTGAACCCAGGGCTTCCTGACTCTCCAGATGTTGCATCACCCTGCCACCTCTGTGGTGCTGGATTTCGGGTGAGGCGGAGCCATGAGGGGCTTAAACGGCCTCCCTGGAAAAGGCAGCATTTTTGCCATTTGTTTGGCATGTTCTGTGCAGGGTAGAATTTCCCTGCGGAGATCGCATACTTCTAGCATGCTTACTGTACTTGGCTCTGTTTCATATAACTATATATCTGTAAAACATGAAGGTGAGTGTGGAGCTAAGGCAGGAGGCGCATTGGGGCAGCTTACCCCCTTGTGACCTCAGTGACAATGCCATTCACACCCCAGGCAACAGGTCAGCCCGCTTATCCTCAGCCACTACGCTGTTGCTTACAAATGTTTATGGGTTATTTTTAATAATACAAGCTGGGAATGCTATACATGACATACATAAATTCATAATTGGCCTATAATTGGATTTTGGTAAAATATCATAGATTTAGTACCAGAAAAAATCCTGGAGACCATTTAGTCTGACCTCCTCAGCTAGGTGGCACCAGAGTGCATGGAGTATCAGGCCTAGAGTCAAAAGACCTAAGTTCAAATCTGGCTTCAGACACTTACTAGCTGTGCTAACCTGGGCAAGTCACTAAACTCTGTTGGTCTCAGTTTCCTCATCTGTAAAGTGAGCTGGAGAATGAAATGGCAAACCCCCCAGTATCTCTGCCAAGAAAACCCCATGGGGGTCACAAAGAGGCGGACACGTGACTGAACCTCGTTTTATAGATGAGAAGAAGGAGACTTTATTGGAAGTGCCCCCCCCACCCTCCTTATGCTTCCCTCTCTGTGGCTGCTTTCTCCTACAGCCTTCATGTAAGGAAGAGGCCCAAAGCCCAGCTCCATTCCTCTGCAGCCTGCATTCCTGCCTCACCCTGATGGGGCTCTCTCTACCAATGCCCCCCTGGCTCCAGATGGCTTTTCCTCCTCCCCTCTTCGGCTCCCTCCTCTATATTCTCTTCTCCATTAGAGTCTAAGCTCCTCAAGGCAAAAACTGCCTTTCTTTCTTGTATTTGGATTTCCAGCACTTAGCACAGTGTCCAACAGGCCCCCGAGTGACTTAACCTGGTTCTCACAGCTAGTAAGTATCTGCGGGAGGGTTCAAACTCAGGCCTTCCTGGCTCCAAGTGCCACACTCTACTGTGCTTCCTCAGAACCTGCTTTAGCTGAGAATGTGCTACTGTTTGGGCAGCTGATGAGGGGGCTGCTTGGGGTGGGGGGGGTGCCTAGATGACTGAATGATGGACAGGAACTGAGAGGGGAGGGGAAAGCATCGCCCTCGTTTGTCCTGACTTGTGATGTAAATTAGAGAGGTTCACCCTGCAGCCTGCTCTGGGAGCCAGGTCCATCAGACAATCAGCTATACCACAGCAGGGCTGCCATGAACATCAAGACTAGTTTGACAAAGATGGCGGGGACATTCAGAAGCTGCTCAAGGAAAACGAGAACTCTGTGGGGTTTACCAACAACACATTATGTCAGCTCAGGGGGGGCCTCCTGCATGCCCTGGGTCCAGTATATCTGTGAAATATGGCAACTCAAAAACAAAAGTTCAGGGGACCACTTAGCAGTTCTTAACACTTTTTAGGGTGATGTTTTCAACAACATTGTCAGAAAGAACCCTTCAATGAGGATAAAAAAGCATGAAGGTCAGCTGAGCTAATGGTAAATTCTTCAACTTGAAAAGGCTACAAGCCAAGACTAAGGTGGAGAGAGAGTTGGTGCGTGACTTTTTGGTCCCAGATGACTGTGCAATCAATGCAGCCTTTGAAGCTGAGATGCAACAAAGTATGGATCAATTTTCTGCTGCTTGTGCTAATTTTTGCCTGACAATCAACACCAAGAAAACACAGGTGCTCCAGCAGCCAGCACCACACCATTCCTATGCGGAACCATCAGTTATAGCAAATGGAGAAGTTCTGAATGCTGCAGATAAGTTCATTTACTTTGGCAGTGTACTTTCCAGGGATGTCCACACAGATGATGAGGTTGACACGCGCATTTCCAGAGCTAGCTCAGTGTTTGGGAGGCACTGAAGGAAAGTGTGGGGGAGAAGAGGTACTAGACTGACTGCCAAACGGAAGGTCTACAGAGCTGTTGTGCTGACCTCCTTGTTGCATGCCTGTGAAAGCTGGACAGTCTACCAGCGCCATGCCAGGACACAGAACTGATTACGTTTGAATTGTCTTAGAAAGATTCTGAAGATCTCCTGGCAGGATAAGGTGCCAGACACTGAGGTCCTTTCTCTAGCTGAACTGCTAAGCATTCAAACTCTACTGCAGAGAGTGCCACTCTGATGGGCTGGCCATGTTCAAAAGCCAAATGTGTGTTTGCCTAAAAGGCTGTTTTATGTAGAACTCACACAAGGCAGGTGCTCACATGGAAGTCAGAAGAAGTGATCCAAGGACACTCTCAAGGTCTCTCTGAAGAAGTTTGGAATTGATTGTGAGATGAGGGAGACACTAGCAAGGGACTGCCCACCACGGCGTACCTCCATCAATGAAGGCTCTGTGCTCTGTGAGCAAAGCAGAATTGCAGTAGCTCAGAAGAAACGGGAGATGCACAAATTAAGAGCCATCTCCACCCCAAATGTTCACATGAACCACTTGTGCCTGATCTGTCGTATTGGTCTGATCAACCACAGTCAGACACATTATACCTTGACCCCAAAATAGGTTTTTTATTAATTTATTTTTAGTTTCCAACAATCACTTCCATACACTTTTAAGTTTTAAATTTTTCTCCCCCTCGTTCCCCATCACCTTCCCCAAGATGGTGCGCAATCTGATATAGGCTATACATATACATTCCTATTAAACATATCTTCACATTAGTCATGTAGTAAGGAAGAGTTAGAACCAATAGGAGGAACCACAAGAAAGAGAAAACAACAAAACAGAAGAAAAAATAGTAAATCGTCTGCTTCGATCTGCATTCAGACTCCATAGTTCTTTCTTTGGGTGTGGACAGCATTTTCCATCACGAAGCCTCTGGAGATGTCTTAGGTCCTTGTAACGTTGAGAAGGGTTAAATCTATCAATATTAGTCACCTTACAACGTGGCTGTTATTGTGTACAAAGTCCTCTTGGTTCTGCTCACTTCACTCAGCATCAGACCATACAAGTCTTTCTAGGTTTTTCTGAAGTCTGCCTGTTCATCATTTCTTATAGTACAATCAATAGTATTCCATTGCATTCACATACCACAGCTTGTTCAGCCAGTCCCCCATTGATGGGCATCCTGTCAGTTTCCAATTCTTTGCCTCCACAAAAAGAACTGCTATAGATATTTTTGTACATGTGGGTCCTTTTCCAGTTTTTATGATCTCTTTTCCGTACAGACCTAGAAGTGCTACTGCTGGGTCAAAGGGTATGCATGTTTTTATAGCCCTTTGGGCATGATTCCAATTGCTTTCCGAAATGGTTGGATTATGGGGCAGCTAGATGGTGCAGTAAATACAGTACTGGCCCTGGCGTTAGGAGGACCTGAGTTCAAATCTGGCCTCAACATATGATACTCACTAGCTGTGTGACCCTGGCAAGTCACTTAACCCCAATTGCTTAGCAAAAAAAAAATTGTGGACAAAATGGTTAGATCAGTTCACGACTCCACCAACAATGCATTAGTGTTCCAATTTTCCCACATCTTCTCCAACATTTACCATTTTCCTGCCCAACATAGTTTTTATGGACACAACATAGTAATGTCACTTTGGTCCCCTCAAAAACAAGGATGAACAACAGCCGCAGGGCTGCCCAGGGGACCCCGGCTCAATTCTCTGCTGCGGCTGCAGCACATCAGCGCCCATGGAGGAGTGGGGGGGGGGAATCTCCTCTTCCCCTCCCCCGCCCCCAGCTCTTGGTGAGTTCTTGGGAGGTTGGTCCCTTTGACTGACTAAATGACCTCCCCATCCCCTCAATGCCAGGGCCTCCCCCCTCAGATGACTTCCAGTTTATCCCATCTCTAGTATGCACATAGCTGTGTGAAGGTTGTCTCCCATTAGACTGTGAGCTTCCTCCTTGAGGGCAGGGACTGATTTTGTGTCCTTCTGTTGTATCCCTAGTGCTTAGCACATAGTAGGTCCTTCAGAATTCGCACTGACTCTCAGTTGCCCCCCCACCCAGGCTGGCAGAGAGGGCAGGTGGAGGGGGACCTAAGTCCTGAGCCTCATGTGCCACTGTGAAAGCTCCTCTTCACATCTCATGGTGTCTGGATCCAAGATCCCGCCAGGCAGCAGAGCCCCCATGTCCACACGGCTCAGAGGATGGGGTACCCAGTGAGAATCCTGCCCAGCTTCTAGCCACTCCCGGGGATTCTGAAGTGTCTGAGACTGAGACTCTGTCCCAGGGCTGCGTTTGTCCTCAACTTGACTAAGTCTCTGTTGTTGACAGGTGCGAAGCTCTCTCCGCTCCACCCACAGACCGGTGCAGGGAGGAACCTCAGAGGTATCTAGGCTGACCCGCCTCTGCCTCAGCATTCCCACTCTTTGTCTCCTACACACAGGAGTGCAGCCTCTGAGGAGAGCCCTCCACTGATGGGGAGCTCACTTCCTCCACCTTGGGTGAGTACAAAACTCTCAGCTTCTCCTAGGCTTCCATGCGCCATGAGATCTTTACCGTTCAAAGAGAACTGGAATTAATTCTCTGCTTCAGCTGTTGAGAGGTTCCTTCTCCTATCGCCTTGCCCAACAACCACAAGGCAGGCCTTCCTCTCCCCAAGGGATGCCCAGGTGGCATCCCTGGCTGTCTTGTTAATGGGGTGAGTGTGGTCAGAGAGCCCAGCAACAGGTTCCCACAGAAGAACACGGACCACCTAGACCGAGTTTACAAGCCATGAAAAAGTAAACGCCAAGTCTCTAGCAGGTCCTTTGAAGATGTAGTGAGCTCTAACAACAGGGCTGTCACGGAGGGCTTCCTGTGGGAGGGGGGTATTGGAGCTGGCTTTGGAGAAAGCCCACATGCTATGACATGGAAGCAAGAAAAGAATGTGCTCCAGGCTTGGAGAATAAATAACCTGGACAAAGGTATGTAGGCAGGAGATGAACAATCACATGAGGGGTTAGAGGAGGATGCACGAAGGGGAGGGGACAAGACCCCAAAAGGGCCAGATTGAGCAGACAGGCCTTGAATGGCAGACTGAGGAATCAGAATTTTATCCTCAGCTGGGGCTTCAAGGCCCTCCTAGATCTGACCCTTGCCTACCTTTCTTGTCTTATTATGTCTGACTCCTCCTTACATACCAGATTTCAGCTAAGCTGAATTGCCAGTTGCACCCTCCCTTCAGGACCCCCCTCCCTCTGCTCTCTCCCCCCTCCCCCATAGGTCTCCCTCTTTCACTCTCCCCCATAGGTTTCCCCCTCCCCCATGTCTCTCCCCTCCCCCATAGGTCTCCTCTCTCCCCTCTCCCCCATAGGTCTCCACCTTTCCCCCTCCCCCATAGGTCTCCCCCTTTCACTCTCCCCCATAAGTCTCCCCCCTCTCGTCTCTCCCATAGGAGGGGCCTTGAGCCAGGCCACAAACAGGGAGTGGGGTCTTCCACCCAGTCCTCTCTGGCCAAATGCTAGTGGTTCATGGAAGGGCACAGGGTGTCTGCAGCTTTGTCTTGCATACTCAAGAGTCAGGGAGGCAGGTCCTCTGGGGGGACGCTGCAGCTGGTAGAGAAAGAGGTGGTAGGGAAACCCATCCTCCTAGGACTTTCTCTTCTTAACTGGGGGGAAAACAAGTATTTCCAGCTGCTGGGGTTGAGGCTGTACCAGCCAACGCCGATTTTCCCTTTTCCTTGTTGTGAATACCAGGAAAGCCGGGCTCTAGAAATCAGTGCACCCCTGACCCTCCGACCTTGGGGAGTCCTGGCCTGCTCTCCAGGCTCTGAGCCCCGGGGCATCTTAGGGCCCCTCTGTCCTTCCTTGGCCCATCCCTTGGGGCTCCCCAGCTCCTTCAAGAGGCCCGCTTCAATGCCAGGACATCAGGGAGGACGGCAGCTCCTCGCCATTCCTGCAGGGACTCTGGCCAGCCTGCCTCGCCTTGTACCTTCCGCCTCCTCCACCCTGCTCCCGTGGTGCGGGGAACCACATTTCCTCACTTCCCTTTTCCCCTGGACCCTGAGCCTTGGGGACAGAACATTTGCATCTATTTTTGTCTCCAGGACTGGGAGGAAAGAGTGAATGGTCGGGGGCTCTGGGAGGAAAAAGGAACCGCTTACAGAAACCTCAAACAGGAGGGCTTGTGTCCCTAAAGCATGCCTCAGAATTAGAGTCCCTCGGAGGTGGATGGAACCTCTGGGCCCTAGGCCCCCACCCCAGGTGACATTCTTCATGGGGAAGTGCTTCCACTCACAGAAGCATCCCTGCTCTGCTCAGGGACTCTCCCAGCCCTCTCCTGGTTTGGTGGGGTGTCAGGGGGATGGAGCAAGAGGAGCTATCTGCCACCCTTCCTCCACCCAGGCCTGCAAGCCATGTAAGGACAGAGACCATGTCTCAACTCAGTGTGATCTCTGCCCCAGCCCTACCCTACATGTGTCTAGAGCCTTCTGAGGACATCCTAGCATCACTGAATCTCAGCTCTCCTTTCAATCAGAGGGGACCTCAGAAGCCTTGGAATCTGGCCCCTCCACAATATCGCTGACAAGCAGTCACATAACCTCTGAAGACCTCCAGCTATGGGCACCTCCCCACCTTGGCAGGCAGCCCACTCGCCTGCAGAACACCTGTCACCATTAGGATGTTTTTCTTTGTCCAGACTAAATCTGAGAGCCTAATCCCTCTTCCAGCCCTCCAGGGCCCTCCCTAAGCTTTGTCTTCTTCAGGGCAAACATCCCCACATGGAGCCTCACATGATCTCAAGTGTCTCACCTATTACCATCCTTCCCACACGTGACTCCTAGAATTGAACAAGAAGCCAGATGCAGGGCAGAGGCCAGTGGGACCAGCCAGTCCCTCCTTCCTAGAAACTCACCCTGCCCCCAGTGCAGCCCAAGATGACAGCCTTCTTTGGTGGCCACACCACACTGGGGACTTTAACAAAGCTTACTGTCCTCTAAGACCCCTTGATCTTCTTCACAAAGCTGTTGTGAAGGAGGAAACCACCCCTAAGAAACATGCAACAGAATGTTATGACTGTACAGCTTCTGAGAACACTGACCGGTGACCATCACTGAGGCCACATGATACTACCCAGCGTCCCTCTGAAGTTGGTGTTCAGGGCAGCAGCCAAGGCAACTCTTCCATATATGGAGACAGGCTTTTCACCTACTTCTTCATTCAATCGGCCACTTTTCATTCAATACCCCTCCTTTCATGAGGTCCCAGCCCTGCCCTCTCTCCTCCAAGCTGGCCCACTTCTCTCGGGTGACTAAAAGTTTCTGCACATGATCTTGTTCTTTCCTTTTGCTTCTGAATCTGACCCTGAACAGAAGTGAACTCAGACATCCCTGCTGCAAAGGGGCTCCCTCCCTCCCTTACACAGAACTTCTCTCAGAGTGATTTTGTGTCTTTCTATAGGACAGAGCTGGGGAAGGGGCTGAGGAAGGTGAACATATTGACACATACACATCCCCTCCTCCCCATGCTAAGGGTACCCCTGGCACCGTGCCAAGCACTGGGGATGCAAAGAAAGGCAAAAACAGGGGTCCTGCCCTCAAGGAGCTTATAGTCTAATAAGGGGAAACACGTAAATAACTGTATACAAACAAGCGGAGAAATAGATGGAGGCAATCTGAAGGGGGAGGGAGCTGGGGAAGGCTTCCTGCAGGAAGTGGGATTTTAGTTGGGACCTAAAGGAAGCCAGGAGGCGGAGGGACAGCCAGAGAGAAAGCTCAAGCCCAGAGACTGAAGGTCTTGTTCGTGCAACAGCCCAGTGGCCAGGACCCTGGAGGGGGGAGTGTGTGATGGGGAGTGAGGGGTAAGAAGACTGGCAAGGTGTGGGTGAGGGGGAGGTTCTGAAGGGCTCTGAATGCCAAGGAGAGTGTTTGGTATTGTATCCTGGAGGAGAGAGCGGGCCATTGGCGTGTATTACGAAAGAGAGAGACCGAGTCAGACCGGGTCAGACGTATGCTTTAGGAAAATCACCTTGGTAGCTGAGTGGGGGATGGACTCAGCAGAGAGACCAGAGGCAGGCAGACCCCACTCCCCAGCTGCTATTGCCAGAGTCCAGGTGGGAGGTGCTGAGGGTCTGCACCAGGGTGGGGGCAGGGTCAGAGGAGAGAAGGAGGCGTGTCTAGGGTAGAAATGAAGAATTTGGGTTGGGGGCCGGGGATGACACCAAGGCTGGGAACCCCGCCCCCAGACACCTCCACTCCAGGAGAGCCAGCCCTTACTAAAAAGGCTGAGAAAAAAAGCCGCTTCAGCAAAATGCAGCAAGGGAACACGGTGCTCCACACTTGCAGCGCCCCTCCTCCCCTTCCAGCCTTTCAGCATCAGTCTCCAGGGTCTCGGGGCGTCTCTCCGTTGACCTCGTCTCGGTCTCTGTGTCCATTAGGTTCCTGGCTCTGCCGGCTCCCCTCGTTCCCGTCGTTCTCTCGTCACTCCTCCGGGGCCCCATCACATTCGTTACTTCGGTCAGCTCAGTCTTCAACGAACCCTGGTCCTCATTCCATGGGAAGGCGTGGAGTCCTTCATTGGGGACCACGCCTACCTGAGGGATCTTGGTCGAAGGGCACCCATTTTGGTCGCTTTCAAGAGTGAACCTCCCAATCCCCGGGACCACGGTGGGCGTGCAGGCGACGTATGGGGGGCCTCCCCCCTTTCCCGGGGTGAGAAATGCCTATTTTTTCCTCTTTCCCGGCCTCTGTCTTGGAGTCCAGGCAGATCGGCTTCCCTTGAAGTCTCTCTGGGCCATTTCCTATGGTTATGGAGTATTCGCCTTCTTGGGGGGAATGTTTGCTCCCTCTCATTTGACCTTTCATCCACCAGAGGATGGAAGAGCAAACCTTGACCTGAAGGACTTCCTCTGCCCAACGCACCCAAGCCTGTGCTGCCCACCCCAAATCAGAAGATTGCCACTTCTGTGGTCCCATCATGTGGTGACCGGCTTAGCCAGGATGGGGGGAGATACACCTGCAGGCTCCTCTTCTCTGGGTTGGGTCACAGCTGCCCTCCTCCTTAATAGGTCTTCTTCCCCTGATGGGGTCTGGAGGCCCCTGAGGCCTGTGTCATTGATTGGGAGGCCATTTCCCTTCTGTCCTCAATAGCTTCTCTGTTGGTTTATCTGCTGGTATTCAAGGTTTTTTCCTCTTGAGATCTCTGGTGATTTCTATCTTTTCCCCTTACATTCCCCTGTGGCTAACCTGACTCCTTTAATGGTGGTTTCACTTGCAGCTGGCCCCCAAAGCTATCTCAGCTACCTCATTTCACTGGCCTGTCTCTGCTTCAAGTGACATGGGGGGGGAGATAGAAGTGACCCCAGCTGGATGCCACTCCCCTGTGCTTCAGGCCCGGTGGATACACACACACACACACACACACACACACAGAGCCTGGTGTCCTGTTCTAGCTCCCTCTGTTGCTCAGTTCTCAAGCAATGCCTGCTCCTGGGCTGGCCCAACCAGAGCCAACTTCTATAGTAC